GCCCGCCTCGGCCTCCCAGAGAGGATAAATTTCTTTCTTGAAAGGATGTAGCCTTTTACAATCCCAATACAAGGGAGTGAGGATACTCATCCAACTATCTGATACTCAGCACTTATGTATTATTATTCCACAAATCCTGTGTTAGAATGCAGGCAGATAGTTCATAAAAAGGAAAATTTTAAAATGGTAAACATACGAAACATCTTAACTTTACTCATAAGATAAATTAAAACTAAGAGATGCCACATTCACCTATTATATTGGCAAAAATCAGAGTTTGATAACATACTGTGTGGGTGAGGGGACGGGGAGAGGGGTACTCATGCATTCCTGGTAAAAACTTCCATAGAGAGTAATTTGGCAATATTTTTCAAAACTGAAAAATGCGTATACCTTTTTTTTTTTTTTTAAAGAGATGGGGTCTTGCTCTGTCACCTAGGCTGGAGTGCAGTGGTGTGATCGTAGCTCACTGCAGCCTCCAACTGCTTGGGCTCAAGTGATCCTCCCACCTCAGCCTCCCAAGTAGCTGGGACTACAGGCACATGCATATACTCTTTGACCTAGCAATTTCACTTCTGAGAATGTATCATATATTCTTGCACATGTGCAAAATGACATATCCACTAGATTATCCATTGCAGCACTATTAAAGATTGGAAACAGCCTAAAGTTCATCAATAGGAGAATAATCAAATAAGTTATGGCATTTCCATACAATGGAATCTTTACATGTTTAAAAAGGAGGCAGCTCTATCTACTGATAGTAATCAATCTCCAAGATATTTCAGTAAAAAAAAAAAAAAAGCAAAGGATAAAACAGCGTATATGTTACCCTTTGTGTAAAGAAATATATAAATACGTGTATTCGTATATGCCTAGGATATCTCTGGAAGATTATTTAAGAAACTAGTACCAGTAGTTGCTTCTAGGGAAGAGGGTAGCTAGAGAATAGGGGTAGAATCCTGAATACCTTTACCTTTTGAATTTTGTCTCTTGTGCATGTATTGTTGATCTAAAATTTAAAAAAAAAAAAAAAAGCTTGGCCAATTTTATACTTGAAAACTTACATCTCATTCTCATTTTAATGTGTATTTTTTTGGCCTCACTAATAAGTGAGGCTGATTTATTCTTTCACATGATCTACTTTTTGTCTAAGAGAAGATACTTAGCTACTTTGATCCACATTGGGTTGCAAGTAATTGAATTTTCCCTGTCTGAGGCTGGCGTTGACCCTCGCTCTGCCTTGAACTCATCACGCGAACTAGGGGAAGCTGTCAATGAGGGAAGCAGTAGATGACCACGGGTCACTTCTGGCTGTAGTGTTCCATGATTCTTTCCCATTTTCCAGTGGCAGGACCTCCACCTGAAGGAGAACGTCCCTCCTTCCCTTTTGCTCCTGTCACGCACCTTCTACCTGATAGATGTGAAGCCAAAGCCAATCGAGATCCCACCAAGTGGGGAGGTGAGTACCTGGATTCATGGAGAGCCTGGATTTCCTCCTAACTGGGGCCTCTCCATGAGTGTCTTGTATACTTCTGCGGTCAGAGCAGGAGTTTCTTTTGGAATTTGGCCCAAACTGGCTTTTAAATATTTTAAAAATTCCTCAAAACAAATGAAAGCCACTCAGATTACACTAGCTACAGGGCTGCTACTGCCTTTAATCCCAGCTTGATTTAGGAATTTTACTAATGGAAGTATAGTTCATTCTTTCTGCTTAACTATCTCATCTTTGTTAGACTAGGTTCCCCCCAACACACACTGCTTTCTTTTAGGCTCAATGGGTCCTGTTCTTTGATGTCTATTTCATTTATCCAGATTCCTTTTTTTTTTTTTTTTGAGACAGAGTCTCACTGTGTTGCCCGGGCTAGAGTACAATGGCGTCATCCTAGCTCACGGCAACCTCAAACTCCTGGGCTCAAGCAATCCTCCTGCCTCAGCCTCTCAAGTAGCTGGGACTACAGGCATGCGCCACCATGCCCGGCTAATTTTTTTCTATATATTTTTAGTTGTCCAATTAATTTCTTTGTATTTTTAGTAGAGACGGGGTCTCACTCTTGCTCAGGCTGGTCTCAAACTCCTGACCTTGAGCGATCCACCCGCCTTGGCGTCCCAGAGTGCTAGGATTACAGGCGTGAGCCACCGCACCCGGCCTCCTTTTAATTTTTAAGCCCTGAACGGCTAAGTTAGAATGTAAATTCTGTATTTCTTCAACTTATTTCCTTAATTATTTTTTTCCTTTTAACTCAGCAACATTTTTCCTCCTGGAACAGCCCAGGATTGCCCAATCACGGGAGTGTCTTGCTCTGGGCCCATCAGGCCTCACTTCCTACCTGGGAACTTCATGTCTGACTCAGAACCTTCTGAGAAAGAAAGAGAAGTCCCTTGTGGAAGATGCTACACACGTGCTGTAGTTGGGCTAGTGCCGAGAAAGGGCCAATCACTTTTAATCTTAGTCATGTGGCCGGCTCCTTGGACAAGCCAAGGAAAACTATTTGAAGTCCAGCATGAAAAATTGACTTCATCAAATACGATCTTGCTTTCTCTTTTCACATTTCCAGAGAGTAATCTGGTTTTGGGTTTTGTCCAGGAAAATTTCTAGGGAGGCTGGGAGCAATTTTGGAGTATAGACCATGTTTTAAAAGGCAGGCTAGCGGGTTCTTGGTCTGTCAAACTCCTGGATCCATTTAAGGCAGACCAAAGTTAATCATCATTCTTAGACTGCCCTCAGGAGCAAGGAACTCTTGAGGAGCACAATGTCTCACGGCTAAATTTGGGTTCTCGGAGTTATTCTACATGGGTATGAACTCTTTATCCAGATGTTTCTTTCTGGAGTGGGTGAGAAAGGAATTAAGGACAAAATGACAAGCTCCCAGGCATTTTATTCGCTCTTTTTAAATCTATGTTTTTAAACTTATATTCTTCAGATACGTAAAGTGAGAACAAGCAGCATGCTAGGTTATGTAAAGCTGCGGTCCCCAACCCCTGGTCCTCAGACCGGTAACGGTCTGTGGAAAAACTGTCTTCCATGAAACTGGTCCCTGGTGCCAAAAATGTTGGGGACCACTGCAGTAAAGAATTTAGAGACATCGTATCAAATATACTATAATACTGGATTTATGTAGCCCTTTCCTTCATGGTACACAAAGTATTTCCAAAGAGCAGTGAAATATTTGTTCTTCAAACCTAATTAATTCCTAAAGATAGGTTAGCTAGCTATTCTATACCCCCCTAGTCTAATCTGTCGTCTATTCTAATCCCACATCCTCCCCCCATTTCCCTTGTTTTACTGGACTTTCATGTAACACCTACCATTTTAGTAATCAGGCAAATTTGTCATTTATTATTAGATACTAAAAATAGTAAGTGTCAATTTTGAGTAAGTTATGCGTCATTAGAAACTGATAATTGAGAAATGGCAACTTTTTGGAGACTGAGAACAGGACCAGAATTGGCAAATTAATGGCTTAATAACTGAGGATTTTAAATACTAGAATCTAATCAGAGTGCAACCTTTGTGATATAGAGTGCTTAAAACTCAAAGAGAAATAATGCTAAGTTGCTATTTCAGGGGCATATTTCCTATGTTACTCATAAAGGGTGTAGCTGGAGGTGGAAGTTCGGGATTTAGTGGAGAGCAAATTGTGGTAAAAGGCCTGGACTACTGTAAAAGAGCTTCTGAGTTTCAGGAAGAGCTGAAAACTTGTGTATATAAAGTATTTCTCGCCCTAGGCTCTAAAGACAAATATTCCTGTGGAATCACCTACTCCCCCCAAATCTAAAGAGAACATGGTGGATTTTGCACCTCAACTGAAGGGAACTAAGGTTAGACAATTACTTTCCATTTCATTAATTAGGTTAAAAAATGCAAATAACAGTAGGTTAATTGTCTCTATTTTTAATCCCTTTAATGAACCTGAATTTCAATATAATAGTGTTCCTTCATGAGGAACATTTGTTATACTGTTTGATCTGTTTCTTAGAAAGTTCACCATTTGGCTATATGTAATTAGGTTCCGGATTTTGCCTTTTGAATCCTGTGCCAGAATATGAAGTAGTTGTTCCAAGTTCCTGGTGGTCATGGCAGTGGACTGTAGATCTAGTACACATTTTGCTTTAAATCAGTAACCCAACTCTCAGTTCTGACGTTTAAGGACGAAGACTTTATACAACCACCACCAGCTACACCATCACCTATGACACCGTCACCACCTATTTCATTACTTAAAGGACCGATCACTTCTAAGGAAGCTGTAAGTATCTCAGAAAAAGAAAACCCGTCCTCCTTAGTTATCTGTGAGGGTAGTGAGAATCTAGAATTATAACTATTGCAAAACATTGCACAGTTCTTCCTGTCATCCAAACAGGAAGTTGTAGGCTGAACTTTAGTCATCTTATAACCACCACATTTTTTACTTCAATTATCCAAAAGCAAAAAAAACCAAAAAAATCAGCCGATGCAATCGTGAATCAGACCTAAACATGTTAAGTCTAGAAGCTAATTACAATATAGGCAGATCCTTCTTTTCTTATGCACCAGATGGAAATAGTTTCCATGTGTTGTGTACTTTACACAGGCTTCTGATGTCAGGAAATACTAGCAGGAAAGCAATTTAAATTTTAGGAGAAATGCATGTAAGTAAGAAATTACTTATCTATCCACTTTTCCCATTTGGGTGAAGGAATTTGAGGCAAGAGTGGAAAGCATGACACAAGGAAGCAGTAGGGAGGTCACAGGAGAGCTGAATGGTGAGGTGGCCCTACTGGCTCCCGGGGACCTCAGCAGGTAGGAGAGGATCTGTGAAGACACAGATGGGCTAAGCATCCAGAAGAGCATCCCAGGGTTAGCTAGCTAGGCACATACCCAGGGCGCACCCCGGCCTTGTCTTTTGCATGTCTCCTTTATTTTTATTACCAAGGTAAATTATAAACTCAGATTTGACTTTGTGGTCCGTCATTATTTTGATTAAAAAAACACAAAGGACTCCTGAAGAACTTACACATCTCATTGTGACCAATGCCTAAAGTCCTTATATTTTATACCTAGACGCTCCAGGCCAAATCACAAAAGACATCGCAGAACAGCAAGGCTAGTTCAAAAGGAGCATGAGGACTGCTCGAGGATGGAGCTCGCTCTCTCCAGCGTCCGGCCCTCCGCAGTGGCATCCGTAAAGGACCTCCCAGCTCAGACTGTCTGTCTGCCTGAGCTAGAGGGTCAGCCGTTTAGCCCTTGGGGCAGTCCTCTGAGGCCTTGTAACGACCATTCCGAGTGATGTCAGCAGTGAGGCCAAGTTCGGACCATTCAGAGAAACAGAATTGCAAAGTTCATCTTTCTGTACCATTATGTCATCCCACTAAACTTTGTGCAAAGCCCACCCCCACCACGTCGTTTCTAAACAGCCACATTTGTGTGTATGTCCTTTAAGAGAGGAAACGTTCTGCAAAATGGAGTCAGCTTGACACCTTAGATCCCTCTGCCCCCCATGGCTTGCAATCCCGAGTAAGAATGTGGGAACTCCAAAAAACTACTTTAAGAGCACCTGACCAACTTCTTTAGAATGACCCGTCAGTACAAACAGTACCCTTATGAGATGGGATGGATACACTTCCCAGTAAGGTCTTTCTGGCTTAGAACAAAAATCTTCTTGGAGGAGAAAAGGGGAGTTAAACAGACTGGCAATCACAGAAGTTTGGCGGCTGCTTAGCTGCTCTGACGGCACCCCCTCGTGGGCCTGCAGAGGCTGCAGGAATCTGGGAGGCGGCCACTATTCGAGCACATGTGGCTTTCATTAGCCCCCATTTTGCTAGGAAACATAATTAAGGGTTTAAGGCTTAGCCATTTGTTTGTGCTGGGTGTGTTTTTCTGGTCGGTTTGTCTTTCACAAATAAGACTATCTGTTAGTCATAGGGGTTGTTAAAGTCGGACATAATCCCTTTGCTACCCAGGAAGGAAGGAGTACTGCATTCCGATATTTATGCTCAGTGTTTTCAGTATTGTCAATACTGAACATAACAGATACAGCTTTCTTCCCTTGGGAAGTGGTTAGAAGGGAAAAGGTATTTTGGCCTGTGGGTGATAAAATTAGATTTCTTTCCTTGCTATGAAGTTAAAAGCAGTTAGATGAGAGTCAGTTAAACCAAGTCAAACGCAAATCTGCCCTTTCTGGGATCCCCAAATGAGGAATGTCACCAGCACTTCACAGCAAGAATATACACTTGAAAATGCTTCCTAAATCTCTGCTCCATCAGAGGACAAGCCCCACCACGTCCTGCTAATGACCACTTCCCCGCGAATGACGACTCCCGACCGTGCAAATACAGCATCCGCGGCTCCCGCCATTGGCCTAGCAAGGTGATTCACAATAAACTCTCCCATTTTTAAAATGATGGGTGTTTATTTTAATTCGTCTACATTTCAGATGTTAAATGTGCGGAAGGGATTAGCTAGTTAACTTGCTCAATACTGTTTTAGCTGAGTGAGCCCTGTGTACTGTTGGGCTGATCTACATTTCTTTCTGGCTTTCCCTGCGAGCAGAGGGGGAATGGTTAGGTGAAGGGACCCAGGCCACTTCATAAACTCTTCTCCCCATTCTTAAGACAGTAGCCCACAGAAGTCAAGGATGGGTCTTTGTTCTCATCACTTAGGGTGCCTGGCTGCTGGGTTCAGTGATTGTTAGATCCAGCCCCATGCTGAAACCTAGCTAGTGAGTGGTGTTCCGGTAAATGATCAACAACCCTCTCTTGGAGGGGGGAAAAGCCCTCATTTATAGCACCTGCATATTCCAGTGGGTTAACTACTCCCACCATGGCTGACTAAAGCTACCAACGTGGGATCACCCAACAGTACAGAGCTGGGAAGAGTCGTGTGCCATTGGCTCTCGGGAGGACACCACACTGGCCCCAGGTCCCCTGGAGCAGTCATAGGAGATAATCGAACCATTAAACCAGGCAGTTGGCAGCAGGCTCACAAAACGTATCACTCTGTGTGCTAAGTCATGCATGTGAGAGGCAGTACAGTATAAACGATCCTGAATATTGTTGTGTCAACCTAGAGACCTGCCCCAGCCCAGGTCTCCCTAACAGCTGGGTGCTTGCTGCCCTTCGCTTTCCCTGGCTCTCCTCAGCTGAGGGGATGAGGGGCCCTGCCAGGCTGCTCCTAGCTTTCCACCCCTACTGTCTACTCTTCTGCACAGGTGCAAATGTGTGGCCCTGCCCGCGGCCAGTAACTCACTGGGCATGACTCGGGCAATCCGTAGGACCCAACGCCAGTGATGTCGGCCTGGGCCTGTGTCTCACAGAGAGAATTCCGCCACTACAGAGAGGAGCTGATGGCACCGACACCATGGCCCTGCTCTTGTGCCAGTCTAATTCTGTACTTCGTCATTACAGACAGGTCATGTAGGTGATGTTAAATCGGTGTTCTGATTGCTGAAACGGAATGTGAAAACCTAGGCTGAAGATCTCCCGCTCGCCACCCACACACGCTAGCAGGCACGGTCGGACCAATGGAACGTTAAAGCCGACGGGCACAGCGCCCAACGCCGACTGAGACTCCAGCCCGCTGGCTCCACCCAGTGGTGGCTGATGGACACAGCGACTTCACTACCATTGAGAGAGGTTCTTGCTGTTCAATCTTACTTACCCGAGATCAATACATTACATTAGCAGTGCCAAGGGACTGATGATCCCCAGCCTACGGCAATTAGAAAAGACAGAAAGGCAATATTGATTCCTGCTGTGGTGGTCCCGGGCCCTAATCTTTTAACCCTCAGGAAACCAGACAGATCCGCGCCGTGACAGCACGACATCTTCATTAGATAAACTGGACTCCTTTCCTCAAGAGACCCAATCTGGTCATCTCAGTAAGATGGCCATTTCATTTTCTCAGGTCAATTTCGCTATCTTTTATTCGACAGCCAGCTCAGTCTCTGGGGAAATCTGTGGGTGTTTGAGTAGTAACAGCAAGGACACCACTGTTACGATGATAGTGCCTTATAATTTCTCTAACACCTCTCCCACGGGCACAGAACGCCTTTAGATTCTGCATCCATTCACGCAGCAGTGCTTCAGGGCAGGGCCACGGCAGAAATTATTGTCACTGTTTTACAAGGAAAGACTCTACTGTACGGTCTCAAAGCAAATGATTTTAAAGAGTTAAAATTCATTTCCTCTGTTCACCGAATTATGCTTTCTTTAAACATTAACACAAATTGTTAACATGTTAACAGTTGCATATTTACAGAGAGAAACAGAGAATTTGACAATGGTGACCAACGGCTGCAGCTGCCCAAATATACCTAGCTCAGAAAGGAAATTTAAAGCAGCAAATCCCCTTTTTCCTGCAGAAATGAAAGCACACTGAACAGCAGTAATCCAGCAAAGAGCGAGCTTTAGTGTAGAGGCTGAGGAGCAGGGGCAGGTTGAGCAGGTAAGTAAGGTACCCAGGAGCCAGAATCCACTTGGCAGGACAGTGACAACCAGCAGGTGGCAGAAGTCAATTTCCAAGCAGCCACAAACACAAAAACATTCAGAGAATCTTTTCCCCCTTTCCTGAGGGATGGGGTGGAGTTTGGACAGGAAGCACTATAGGAAGCGAGGAGTTGTGACAGTCCCAACAAATGTGGCCCGGTCCCGTGGATACAGGAAGAATGGTCTGGGGGAGGACAACGAACAAAGTGGTTGGGAAAAATGAACTAAGGGACCAGAACGCAGGCTCAGCCTTAGGTGACGAGATTTCCCTCGCTCAGAAAGCAGCACAGGCACGACCCCGCCCACACAGAGGCACACATCTGGGGGGGTCTGAGTTTCTGCAGACCCTTGTGGAACAACAATCCTTAGCTTTCCTCTTAATCACTTTAGCCCTACCCCTTAGCTATTCCAAGGTAGGTGCCCCCGCCCCCCGCCCAACCCCCCCAGTTTCCTCTGCGGAAACAATCTGTGGTCGAGGGCTGTGCCCTGGCCCTCTGCCCGGCACCTCCGGGCCACGGACAGGAGGTTCCTGCCCACGATGCGGACATCTTCTTTTCCTGCCTTTCCAAAAGCATCGGAGAGGTAGGAGGTTCGTCCTGGAGGTCTGGGCGCGGGACCTAGGAGGAAGAGGTTACAAGGAAACTGCGGGGAGCGTGCAGTGCCCTCTGGGCAGACAGCCCGGGGCCCGCGAGGCACCCTCCTTTCCAGTGGACGTTCTCTCCCTTCTCACACAGCCCATATAAAAATGAAGCAGCAGCAATTTTTATTGAGGGACCTAAACTGAAAATAGGTTTAGAACATAATTTAAAAAAATAAAACAGCAAAAGTAGCAAAAAATATATGACCTTTTTAAAAACATTTTCCTTTTTTTTCTTTTTTCTTTGTTTTTAATATATAGCAACTGATGCCTCCCAGCCACCAGGAGCATCTTACCCAATGGGTAAATCTCTGGTAACGACCCTTTTAAAAAGACATGTAAATATATACTCAGATTTATACACTTTGTGTTTTCTTCATAGCTATATACAAAGCCCCCAGTTCGGGGCTAGGCCCCAGGGCCACACACTGCTCCCCGCCTTTGCCCCACCATTCTCTGGTACCATGTATTTGGTCAGCAAAGCAAATTAGTATCAGAATTAATAAGCTACTGGCACCATCTATCTGGAGCAGAGGTCGCCTTCTACCGAGGCCCGAAGCATCGACCTCCTTACCGCCGCAGCCCTGAGGACAAGGCACCTGCCGCCAGAACACAAGGGCTCGCGGGTTCCGGTGAGACCGACAAAACCGACACGAGAAAGCTCGCGAAGCTCTCACTTGCACGCCTGTTCCCCCACCGTCCCACCCGCCAGGCACCTGGTGGCGGGCAGGATCTTGGTCCGGCATTTGGGAGGGAAGGAAGTGTCCATCAGCAAGTACCTGCCTCTCCGCTCCTCTCTCTCTCGCAAGCAGGTTGAGAGGAAGAGGAGGAGGAGAGGTGAGCTCAGTGGGGTGAAGGCGGGCCACACAGCAAGGCCCCACGTAGGCAGCCGGCTCCTGCCAGCAGGAAGGGGGCAGGGACAGGCAGTGGGCCAGCAGGGAGTCGTGGGTGAGGGTTACAGTTGGCCATGGAGTCTGGGGGGGTGGGGCATGGTGGGTGGGAGTCAGCGTGGTTTGAGTCCGCCATTGGCAAGCTGGGGTGGGTGTCGGGGCAGACAGGGCTCCTCGGGCAACGGCTCGTGGGAGAAGACGGAATCCTCCCCCGAGGAGCAGGTGGAGCTTCGGGTGTCGGGAAAGCTGGGGGAGTACTGGTCCAGGGGCATCGACAGGTCCAGGTACTCCTGCGACAGGCGAGAGGAAGGAGCAATGGCCAGGTGCCCTCCTCCCCGGGCCAGGGAGTGACAGGCAGCCACGTGGTGGCAGGTAGCCTCACCT